TACTTATTTTGTTGCTTCACCTTTGGCCATAGGGAGCACTTTCAGGTTCCCATGTCCTTTCAATGAACCTCCATGTTCTTGTTTTTTGTTGTTTGGTTTGGCAGCTACTTGTTTGCTTTCTGGGGGAAGATGCTTTGGGCTCATCTTGTGCTTCCCAGTCCCAGGGTTGGAATCAACTCTAATTCTTCTCAATAGCTGCTTAGTGAGTATGCCATTTGTGGCAATGTAGAACTGATTTATTTTAAACCAGGATCTATCTATTTCCAAACTTTTCTATTATAATCTTTTACAATAAAAATCCTTGCAGGTGGGCCATTTCATACATAAGCAATTTTTAAAGTAAAACCTAAAGCATTTACGAAAACCTAGGAGGCCCTCTCTGACTATCCCTGCGTTCTCCCCCTGCCATCTGCTCCTGACAATGTTGTATTCCCCTCCCCAGTGTGGTGGACAACCTCTGAGACAGCTCCTCCAACACCTGCCTTTTGAGATCCATGCCTTTTTGTGATCTCTTTCTGGTGAGTTGGGGTTGGACTTATTTCTCAATTTTTTTTTTTTTTTAGGGGACAGGATCTCACTGTGGATGAAAGCCCTTCAACAGACCTTCACACTCCCACACCCAGGCTGGAGTGCAGTTGTATGATCATGGCTCACTGCAGCTTCAGCCTTCCAGGCTCAGGCAATCCTCCTGCCTTAGCTTTCTGAGTGGTTGGGACCCCAGTTGCATGCCACCATGCTGGGCTAATTTTAAAAATTACTTTTAGAGATAGGGTCTCCCTATCCTACCCAGGCTGATCTTGAACTCCTCCCGCCTCCCAAAGTATTGGGATTATAGGCAGGAACAACCACACCCAGCCATTTCTCATTTCTCATTAATGAAATCAGATGGAAATAAGATATCACTTCCAATACCAGGTTACCAAAGGACTGGGGCTTCTATTCCATCTCAGCTGCTTGCTCTTGATCATTTTCTTGTTTACCTGGTCTAAGAGCCATGATGTGAGCTGCCCTATGGTGAAGTCCACATGCCAAGGAACACAGGGAGGCCTCCAGCAAACAGTCAGCCAGTGAGGGGCTGATGCTCTTATTCCAGCAACCCACAAGAAATGGAAACCCTCTAGTTGAAACTTCAGATGAGACCACAGTTCCGGCAGATAGGATAACTGCAGTCACATGAGAGATCTTAAGTTAGAGAAACTTGTGTACAAAAAGTAAAATCAACAAGTCTTACTAGTTACAGGACTGTACAGCTAAATCATCCTAGGGTCCTTTCTTCCTAGGACTGATGCTCTCTTTATCTGGTATGAGAGCCTGATGCTCTCTTGGCCAACATGACTTCCTGCCCACATCCTGGCCAGCCCTCAAGATTCAAATGGCCACTAAGCCGCTCTCTCCTTGACTTCTCCTGCGAGTTTCCTAACTAGAAACAACCATGCTCTGCCTCAGCCTCCCACTGTGCTTTACCTGACCCATGTCATGGCACATCTTACTCTCTCCTGTATTGCAGAGTTACGGACATAGCTCGTCTTCTGTAACGCAAATACGAAACTTGTCAAGGGCTGGATTCTCATCTCAGTCATGTTTATAACCCATTCCTCTCACTTCTAAGCACTAAGCTCAGACTTGCACATATATATTAGGTGCTCTAAAATATCCATAAAGCGAATATGTAATAATAAGCCTTAAATTATGGGTTTAGGACCAACAGGCAGCCCGAGCACCTACCGCACACTCTTAGAAGCATTATTATCACCACTCACTATTTCAAGAATAAGTGTTTGCTTCTCTAACAAGGATTTAATTTTCCAGACTCTCCATGATTTTCCTCTCCTATTTTAGAATTTCTAAGTTTAGAAGAAATAAGAAATAACTCCAGACCAAAAGTTGAGGGCCTCTAGCTTAATTCTGCAGTTTTCACATATCAAGTGCTTCCTCTGGCGATACTTCCACCCAGAGCAACAAGAAGACACCGCTGTTAACACCAACGGAAAATCTGTACTGGAGACCCAGGGAGCAGGAACTTTCAGGCAGGAGCATAAACAAGATTCATGTCAATTAATATTCTACTCATCGCTTCTGAGCATTTGCTGGCCACCCTATCATTGCCAGCAAAGCTCCTCTTGTAGCAGTATCTATGTCCAATTGCACTAATTGAACATGAAAATGAGGGAGATAAAGGGAAACTCAGCTAATTGTATTTTTTCATTGGCTTCCAAGGAGAAAAACCCATAATCAGTCATAATTACAAACTTCCCTTGTGGTCTCAGCAGAACAGGCTCCAAATGGAGCTATTCTGAGGCATCTTGCATGATGACAGATAAACAAACTCTTAAACCCTTTTTTGATCTGCAAAGACTTTGAGGGAATAAGAGGAGATGCTGTGAACCTTCTTGCTTCCTTCAGCTTACATCCCTCAACTTTACGTTTAAGCTAAAGACACTGTCATCTGTGACGTTTCTCTATTCTCTACTCTCTCTGTGGATAAAAGCCCTTCAACAGCCCTTCACCAGGGACACCAAGACAATGACTGGGCTGTGTGAAGTTGGTGACTGTCCCATTCCTTGGAATTCACTTTTCAAGATGCAGAGGGAGCCGGAAGAAAGAGAGACAGCACTGGGCTTTCCCTCTAGGAAGAGACAGCTGTAAGCTGCCTTGGGGCATTCATGATGATGGCAGTTAACTGTGGGGTAAGCTCAGCGGAAGGCAGGAATTCCCAGGCCCACAGAGAATACAGAATGGCTTTGTTGCCTTAATCTGTCCTAAATTCATATGTTTCTGTTACCACTAAGAATAAGGCCAGATATAGGTGATGGGGAGGAAGGCAGCAAACCACATTGCCATGTATGTACCTATGCAACAATCCTGCATGTTCTTCACATGTACCCCAAAACCTAAAATGCAATAACATATATATTTATTTAGAAAAAAAAGAATAAGGAAAAACCAAAATGAACAGAACATGGCGCTGGAGTCCCAGCTGAGCTTGAAAAGTATAAACCTGAGTTCCAGAGAATTCAAGTCACTTATAAATGAAGAGGAGGAAGAACCTGGAAATCTAAAGGCAAGATGGGCCTGCACATTAGGGTTGGGGCAAGAATAGGTGGCTCCAGCCCATAAACATAGGCGCTCAAGGGACTTTTGCAGAACAAGTGCCAATGTGACAACCTAAATGACTGTCTTGCAGGAAAGAGGAATGTCCATATCCTGAAATGATATCTTAGGAAAACTTTGCAAACTTAAGAACCAGAGCAAAACTAAAACCATTAAAAAAAGAAACTCCAGGCCAGGCACGGTGGCTCATTTCGGTAATCCCAGCACTTTGGGAGGCTGAGGTGGGCGGATCACCTGCAGTTAGGAGTTCAAGACCAGCCTGGCCAACATGGTGAAACCCCATCTATACTAAAAATACAAAAAATTAGCAGAGTGTGGTGGCGGGTGCCTGTAATCCTAGCTACTTGGGAGGCTGAGGAAGAAGAATCGCTTGAACTTGGGAGGTAGAGGTTGCAGTGAGTCGAGATCACACCATTGCACTCCAGCCTGGATGACAGAGTGAGACTCTGTCTCAAAAACAAAACAAAACAAAACAAACACAAAGAAACTCCAATGACAACAAGAAAAACCCAACATGACAGAGACGAGCACAAGTCATCTAAGTGTAGGAGGGACATGGGAGGAGAGGAAGGACCAAGTCCAGAACCGTCTGGCCACTGGCCGGCTTGCTTTCTGATTTTGGACCAACTGCTTACTTTCTTTGTACCTCAGTTTCCTGGTCACTTTATGCTGCCCCGATATAGCAGGAAGAGATGGCTCGGACCCGACCCCTTTCCCATGCCATTTTTATGATGGGGAGATACCCAGGATGTTCTGCCCAGAGCCTCCAATTTTCCTCTGACATACACATTATAAAACGCTTTGGTCTCACTTCAGCAAGTTTGCCCATAAATACATTCAGCCCCCAAAATTGCTTTAATTACAGAAGAAGGAAATTGCTTCACTTGGCAAAAGGTTTTTCCTGGTTCAGATAATGGCAGTCTGGTATGTGCGTCTGTGATGGATTTTTTTTTTTTTTTAACTAAAAGCCATTGTGCCTAATGAGAACTGGAAAAGTGCCGTGGAACCAGCATTCACTGGGGTCCATCCTGGCCCCTCTGGTGAGCTATGACTGCTTTCAGAAATCACACATTATTCCAGAAAGTTACAGCTGACCTCAAAGAATGTGCTTCCCAAATAAAAAAAAAAAGCCACTGGCCAAGATGTTGTGAACTAACAGCGAGGGGCAGGGGCGGAAAGGCTGTCTGGGGATTATGCATTTGGAAATGAGAAGCTCAGGCAAAGTGCTGCGTGTTAAAAAAAACAAGACCCCGTAATCATTACAGTGAGAGACAATCTACGCTTCTTTAACTCCTTGTGTGGTGGTTCTAGAAGGTTCTTTGCAAGTATCCAAATATCATCACATGTGCAGCCAAGGGAAATCTTCCAAGATGTCCAACACTCACATTCTGGCTCTTACCACCAGCGAGCAAGATTAAAGATTGCCTTTGTTGGGCCAGGCTTTCCTGCCAGGTGGATGGGCGCCCATGGACGCCATTAATAAGGAGTTGAGACGATGATGCACTGACATCCAACACAGACCACAGACTGTGGAGGCTGACAGACCCATGTCGGAGTCCTGGCTCTACCATTTATTAACTTTGCAACTGTGGTAAGTTACTTAAACTCCTGAGCCTCAGTTTTCCTCATCTGTAAAATGAAGGATAAAAGCATGCATCTCATGAGGTATTTCTGAAGATCAGACAGGGTCGTTATAAATTACGTAGCACAGGGCTGGACGCAGGGCATCATGCCTGTAATCTCAGCACTTTCAGAGGCCCAGGTGGGAGGATTGCTTGAGGCGAGGAGTTCAAGGTTACAGTGAACTATGATTGCACTACCGTACTCCAGCCTGGGCAACACAGTGAGACCCCATTGCCAAAAAAATTTAAAAATTTGCTGGACATGGTGGCATGCTTCTGTAAACCTAGCTACTCAGGAGGCTGAGGTGGGAGGATCACTTGAGCTGAAGAGTTTGAGGTCACAGTGTGCTATGATGGCGCCACTGCACTCCAGCCTGGGCGACAGAGCGAGACCCTGTCTCTTAGGACAAATAAAAATACATAAATAGGGCCAGGTGCAGTGGCTTACACCTGTAATTCCAGCACATCATGAGGCCAAGGCAGGCAGATCACGAGGTCAAGAGATCAAGACCATCCTGGCCAACATGGTGAAACCTTGTCTCTACTAAAAATACAAAAATTAGCTGGGTGTGGTGGCACACATCTGTAGTCCCAGCTACTCGGGAGGCTGAGGCAGGAGAATCACTTGAACCCGGAGGCGCAGGTTGTAGTGAGCCAAGATTGTGCCACTGTACACCAGCCTGGATGACAGAGTGAGACTCCATCTCAATCAAATCAATCAATCAATCAATTAATCAATCAATAAGTATGTAGTACCGTGCCTGGCAAACAGTCTAAGGGGTCATTAAATATTTGCAGCTGCTGCTGCCAGTGCCACCATCACCTCCTCCTCTGCTGTGTTCTTCTTCCTAGTTCCCTGTCAGGGTCTGGCTTTACTGACTTAGGCACTCCTAGGACATCTATCTATAGTAGGAAGGGGACCCTGGAAAAACAAGGGAGATGCATGAACTCCATCTGCAGACTGAAGTGGGGACTTAAAATAATTTCCTTCTTTTTCTCAAGTTGGAGAAAAATGATAGTGAATAAGTGGCACACAGACCTCAGGATCAAAGAGACCTGGGTTCAAATCTCCCTCTGCCTCTTGTTCGGCAAATGACTCTGAGCAAGTTCCTCAAGTCTCAAACATCGGTGGCCAGGAAGATAAAAGAGAATAGTGCATGTCAAGTGGTCAGCACCTCTGGCCTATAGGAACAATTCAACTGTGAGAGGTGGTATTATTATTATTACTGGTGTTCCTGCTATAGCCCAATTCCTACGTCCTGTGTTAGAGATAAAGACACCCCCTGCTGGACATGGCATGGTGGCTCACGCCTGTAATGCCTGCCCTTTGGGAGCCCAAGGCAGGTGATCACATGAGGTCAGGAGTTTAAGACCAGCCTGGCCAACATGATGAAAGCCCATCTCTACTAAAAATACAAAAATTAGCCAGGCATGGTGGTGCACGCCTGTAATCCCAGCTACTTGGGAGGCTGAGGTAGGACAATCATTTGAACCCAGGAGGTGGAGGTTGCAGTGAGCCAAGATCCTGCATTGCACTCTAGCCCCGGCAATAAGAGTGAAACTCCGCTCAAAGGAATACCCGAAGGGTCTTTGACACAAGGGGAAATGAAACAAAGTGGCATCTGCATAAGGCTGAGCTGTGCTTATTTGCCATAAAAATCTATTCCGAGGCCAGGTGCAGTGACTCACACCTGTAATCCCAGCACTTTGGGAGGCTGAGGTGGGCGATCACCTAAGGTCAGGAGTTTGAGACCAGCCCAAACAACATGGTGAAACCCCATCTCTACTAAAAATACAAAATAAGCTGGGTGTGTTGGTGCATGCCTGTAATCCCAGCTACTCGGGAGGCTAAGGCAGAAGAATTGCTTGAACCTCGGAGGCAGAGGTTGCAGTGAGCCGAGATCACGCCATTGCACTCCAGCCTGGGTGACAGAGTGAAACTTTGTCTCGAAAAAAAAAAAAAATCTATTCCAAGGTATTGCTGTTCAGGCCACGCCTGGACAATGATGCATCCATGCCTAAGGTCCCAGGAAGCTAGCAGTCTGAAAAGTAAAGGAAGAGTTGAGAAAAACGGCACCAGAGACTGCCTCCTTTATATTTTGGGGGGCTATTTGTTTGAAAAGACTTTGCTAATAGTTTAAGGAGACTGCAACACAACACAAGGCAGGCTTGCCTCGCTAAGCCAGCTAGAGGTTTAATTAAACACAATTGCTTGCTGTGTGTTCCCTTCCCAAATGGCTCATGCATATTCATCATTGTAATTACAGTAGTGAAAAAATCCACGCCTAATTATTCTGTGCTCCCCATCTTTCACATGCCTAGAATTTTTGCATAATGGCTGTTGAAATTAATTGCAAGTTAGTTAATTTTACATTTTGCCTTTTCAAAACTTAATTGAAAATTAATTTAAAAGATACAAAAAAACCCCACAAAAACTCACAACAACAACAACAACAAAAATCCTACTACCAGGCATTATGGCAAATCTGGTTTTTCAGACTGACAATGTGCACTAAAAATGTGATGTGATTGCTTCTAACTTGAGTGCAGCATTGTACTTGCCGAGTTACAATAAAAGCCCCGTCCCGTAAATGTCTCAGAACTCACATCTCTATTTTTTCTACCAAATAGCAACAAAGACTTGTGTTGAGTGGGGAGGGCTGTCAGTGGTCCAGCTGTCTTCTGGTTGCAGGTTTATCATGTTATCCTTCAGAAATTACATCTTCAGCCTTCTAAGAAGACCAGCATGTGGTTTCCTATGGCTCCATCACACTTCTACCCTCAAATATCTCTACTGGTACCCCAAGCTCCAACTGCAATCTGGCATGCAAGAAACTTCACTTTCATGCTTAGCAAACCAACAGAAAACATTTCTTTCTCCCTCTCTGTTACTGCACTCTGTTCTCACCAGCTTTTTTATTTATTTATTTTTTATTTTTTTGAGGTGGAGTCTCACTCTGTTGCCCAGGCTGGAGTACAGTGGCAGTGGCGCAATCTCGGCTCACCACAACCTCCACCTCCTGGGTTCAAGCAATTCTCCTGCCTCAGCCTCCCAAGTAGCTGGGACTATAGGCACATGCCACCACGTTTGGCTAATTTTTGTATTTTTAATAGAGACAGGATTTCACTATGCTGGCTAGGCTGGTCTCAAACTTCTGATCTCATGATCTACCCATCTCAGCCTCCCAAAGTGCTGGAATTACAGGCGTGAGCCACCGTGCCCAGCTCCCACCAGCTCTTTTATGTTACTCCCATTAATCCTGTTTTGGGGATCCCTTCTGCATGGGACCAGGAAGGAGCCACTGATCATGTGCTTACTATGTCCTGCACTGAGCTTCAGGCACAAGCAAAAGTTTCATTTCATTTCAGCACCTAACAGTTCCTGACATACAAATCCATCCTTATTTCTTGACTGGCTGATAGAAGAACACTTATAGCAAGCCCATGGGTGAACACCATTGGCCCCACTTTTAGAGAGAAGGAAAGGCAAGTTCAGAGAGAGTAAGTACGTTCCTCAAGTTCACACAGCCAGTAAGTGGCACAGCTGGCATCTGGTGCCAACACTGTCTTCCCCCACCTCATCACCATGTTGCCTCTCCAACCTCTTCCTGAAGCCCTGCCATCTTGGCAGTTCAGATTTTAGCTTCTGCCAACTGTGGTCTCTTGGCAAATACCTTTCTTGACCCTGAATCCTGAAAATGAATTGTTATAGACTGAATGTATGTATCCCCCTCAATTCATATGTTAGGTCCTAACCCCGAACGTAATGGTGGTTAAGATGAAGCGTTTGGGAGGTTAGGGAGTAATGAGGTCCTGAGAGTGGGACCCTCATGCTAGGATTAGTGCCCCAATGAAGAGGAAACAGCAGAGAGCTTGCTGAAAAGAGAACACCATGAGTAGGTGGCTGTCTATAAGCTAGGAGGGCCCTAGCTAGGAACTGAATTGCCAGGAGCCTTGATCTTGGACTTCCGGCCTCCAAAACTGAGAATGCCTGTTGTTTAAGCCACCCAGTCTTTTTTTTTTTTTTTTTGAGATGGAGTCTCCCTTTGTCACCCAGTTGGAAGTCCAATGGCACGATCTCGGCTCACTATACTTCCGCCTTCCCGGTTCAAGCAATTCTCCTGCCTCAGCCTCCTGAGTAGCTGGGACTATAGGTACATGCCATCACACCCAGCTGAGTTTTGTATTTTTAGTAGAGACGGGGTTACGCCATGTTGGCCAGCCTGGTCTTGAACTCCTGATCTCAAGGGATCTGCCCACCTTGGCCTCCTAAAGTGCTGAGATTACAGGTGTGAGCCACTGCGCCTGGCTCTGGTCTATGATATTTTGCTATGGCAGCCTGAGCAGACTGAGACATCATTCCACAGTTTGATTAGATGACCTTAGTTACTCACTTTATATTTTGGACTGATTCAGGGTTAACTGTGAAAGTACTAAGGAAAAGATAAGAGAAAAATCAACTCCAGAGGAAGAAGACAAATCCTTATGATACAAAGGAAGCTGGACGGGCTACTGTTAGAAGGCTGAGGCCTGAGACATGCTAAGCAGCTGCTGACAACTCACCTGGAATGAGCCAGAATGCATGTGTGTGTGTGTGTGTGTGTGTGTGTGTGTGTGTGTGAGAGAGAGAGAGAGAGAGAGAGTGTGTGTGTGTGTGCGTGTGTGTGTGTGTAGAACCACAGCTTCCTGCTACTCCTAACATTATGCTAACAGGGACCCTCACTGAGAGACGTCTTGAATTGTACCACAGAGGAGATTGAGGGGGAGGAAGAGGTGGAAAGCAAATTAACAGAGCACAAAGACATTGATTTTTTTTGAAGTCCATAAAAGTATCTCCTTTAAAGGTGACTTTTGTGACCTGAGCCTTCAACAATATCAAAAGAAACTATCCATTCTCCAAGAGGCTCCTGAGATTTGGGGGTCTTTTATGACCCTAGGAGCAAATTCCTTAACAGGGATCCTTTAGAGTCCAGGCTCCAGGAATATGAAAGGTATTTTAAGAAATAAGGTGCTGTGCCTGTGGATACATTTTTTCTCCAAATGTGTAAACAGAGACTTTCATTCCAGATAAGCCCATAATGTTGACGTGGATCACAGACCCAAATGAGGTGTTCAGACACAGCCATAAAGCCTCTGGATTCAGTTTACATATCAGGAGAATACACTGTAAGATACGTAGAGGCTCTAAGCAGGTGCCAGAAAGTGGCCTTGCAAATAGATGGAAGCCCGGTGCTAGGTGTGTGCCAAGAGCTGTCAGGTGGGAGTGCAGAAGACTGGCTCTAGAGGCAGAACCATCCTGCTTCATGCAGAGGTAGCAGTGGGATGGGGCGGGAAGCAAGCCAGAAACAGAACTGAGCTGGAAGGTCCGGGGTGGCTCTTGGCTCTCAGGATGTTGATCTTGCTAGCTGACACAGAAAGGCATACTCAGCATGCTGCTTGGTGAAGACAGCACATTAGTGGATTGTGTACCTTTTAAGAGAGCAGGATGCCATTTATATTGATGACAAAGTGTGTGTGTGTGTGTGTGTGTGTATTTCTATCCATTCATAAAGAAGATGGCTACGCACGGTGGCTCACACCTGTAATCCCAGCACTCTGGGAGGCAAGGCGGGTGGATCGCCTGAGGTTGGGAGTTCAAGACCAGCCTGGCCAACATGGAGAAACCCCATCTCTACTGAAAATACACAATTAACAGGGTGTGGTGGTGCATGCCTGTAATCCCAGCTACTCGGGGGGGCTAAGGTAGAAGAATCACTTGAATCCAGGAGGCGGAGGCTGCAGTGAGCTGAAATCGCGCCATTGCATTCCAGCCTAGGCAACAAGAGTGAAACTCCGTCTCAAAAAAAAGAGTAAAAAAGTTTGGAGGGGTATAGCAAAATTTAATAATGGCTACCAGTGGAAGGATAAATTATGTGTGATGTGAAGTGTTCTATATTTTCTGAGTTAATGATCTTGTATTGAATTAATGCCTCTCCTTTTAATCTCAGGCCCATCATCTACTCTTCAGAATAGCCTGTGATGACCTTCGTGCTTACAACAGTTCCCCTTATTGGTGTTCACCTAGATCTAGTTAGCTCTCTTTCATCACAGCACATGCTACAGTTATATATTTACTACAATTTTTCGTTTGTTTGGTTTTTTTGGAGACAGGCTGCTGCCCAGGCTGGAGTGCGGCAATACAAACATAGCTCACTGCAGCCTTGAACTTCTGGGCTGAAGCAATCCTCTTGCCTCAGCCTCCTGAGTAGCTGAGATTACAGGTGTGTGCCACCATGCCCAGGAAATTAAAAAAAAATTTTTTAGAGATGGGGTCTTTCTGTGTTGCCCAGGCTGATCTTGAACTGTTGCCACAAGCCATCTTCCTGCTGAGCTTCCCAAAGCATTGGGACTACAGGCATGAGCCACTATACCTGGTCTACAGTCTTTTATTTAGCGTGTGCCTCCCTCAGGAAACTTGGTGCTACATAAGGAGAGGAACCATGTTGGGTATAGTTTTGCTTTGTTTTGGTGGACAACTTGGTTCCCAACATCAAACAACAGTAACGATGAAGGTAGCAGTAAGGAGATCAACAACAGAGCAGCAGGAGCAGAGGTGGCGGCAGTGGCAGCTAACACTTGCTTAGTAGGTGCTAGGTACCAGACCCCAAGGACTTCATTATGAGGTCAGTATGGTCAACACCCCCATTTTCCTGAAGGCGAAACCACAGCACAGAAAGACTGTGCATGGCCAGGATCTGAACAGGGGCAGGTGGACTCTTGAATCCATGCTTGCAACTGTCATGCTACACTGCCCTTTTATCCAGCACTTAACTTCGCACACAGAAGCACCTCATAAATATGTATTAAATAAAAGATTGATCACACATTCCTTTTTACAATCCTGAAAAAGTTATCTCCGTGTTTGGATGAGGAGAAATACAAAATCACCCCTCTGGGAATGAGGCAGCAGAATGAAAGAGGACGTTCTGAAAAACCAGAGTTTTCTGGAAAGCAATGTTCTTTTTCAGACAGCAGCGCTTGACTCTGAAGAAAAATGCCCCACACACAGTTTACTCAAGTCCCAGTGCTTTTGATTTTCCCGAATGCAGAAGGGCGTAGGGAATGATGGGGTCCAGTGGCATTCCCGTTAGACATTCTACAGCCGGGACTCTGGGCTCCAGTCTCTATAACTTGATAAAGTCAAGGGTTCTGATTCCTTGTAAGTGACCAAGGAAGGAGAAGCAATCTCTCATTTGAAATCTTCCCAAGCTCACAGTAAGAGAGCTGGGCCCTAAAAAATGGATGGGGAACTACCACCAAGGTTAAGACATGCTATGCGCCTTGTATGTTGCATGAGGGATTTGGGTAAAACCATGTAGGGATGGGGGATTATTGATTCCCCCTTTAAAAAGCAGGCAGAAGTGGTTATATTTGCATGGACTTAGCAGAACATGACTGTCTGTAGAGCTGAAGAGCCCCACGTGCATTGTTAGTTAGAAATATTTAACGGATTAGGACTGCGTGTACTGGCAGACAGACCTGATTTAAGTTTTTCACATGATATGAATTCTCCAGGGTAAAACCCAACAGGCTGGCATCATTCCAGGTTAAAGCAGGAGATAAAACTGGAAGAATTCGGGCTGCTCCATTCATTTCAAACCCAGAAAGCAAGGCTGTCCTTATAGCTTATTGTTTCAGGATTAGCGTATGTAATGTTAGCGCCACACTGAATACCGATGAGATGGGGCCTCACTTCATTAAGCATTTGATATGGTTAAACTGCTGCACCATTTCAAAGCCTACGGAAATCATCACACACTGACAACTTGTCCTACAAATGGCATGCAAACGTGTGACTTCACTAGCTGCAGATGAGCTCTCTCCCTCTTTCTCTCTCACCTTCTAGTCATTTTTCAATGTGGAGAGAAAAAAGTGTACTTTTCTCCAACTCCCTTGTGTCTCAGAGTCAGAAAAGAACACATTTTCTACCATTTCTACCATTTTCTGGCTCATGCCAAAGGTATTAAATAACTCAGTAAAGCCAGATGTATCCCATTCCTGCCAGAGCTCAGAAACAGACCCAGCTACTAGGCAGCTGTGAAACAGAGCAGCAATCTGTCAGGATTTAATTAGGCCAGCCTTTTGGATGGGATATGCTTTTTCTTTTCTTTTCTTTTCTTTTTTTTCTTGTCTTTTGAGGTGGACATTTTGGCAAAAAGTTGGGATGGGCTGACTATGGCTTAGTATGTCCTTGAATCAGGTGATCCTTGACGGATGGGAGGTAGTCGGGGGGCGGGGGTAACTTCCCTTTCTTTACGTGTGGACGTGAAACACAAGTAGATATAGACCCGAAGGTATCTGAATTTTAGGCACATATGGGGAATTAACAGAGGCATGTCTCTGGCTCTCCTGTCTTTCCTGCTTCAATGCTAAATTCACCATGTCACTGCTGGGTCAAATGTCTTGGGCGACTGAGCAGGGGAGCCACAGAGGGAGTTAGAATATAGTTTTCCTTAAGAACAGTGACTCAAAGTCAGGCCATAAACAAATATACACAGACACAAGTCTGATGCATCGAGGGGCTGTTTTGCAGTCCTTTAATCTGGCTTTTAGAATTATTAGTCCTTTTCTTCCTGTTTTAAAATGCTCAATTCCTATTCAGGGGTTCTGTCTATACTCTGAGCCTTAGTAATGAAAAGCTACTTGAATGTTCAAAAGGGATTAGATGGTGGGACTTCAGGGGCCAACAACAGAGAATCAGATGGAACAACATAAACGGCCAATAACGGGGGGGAGTTGGACCCTGCACAATGTGATAAAGAGTGGTGAGGTGTGACTGTAATGGTGGTGTCCACAGTGTGCTTCTGGTCCACAAGAAATCGGTTTTCATGGACTTATATGCAATGCCAACAATCCCTTTTAGTATGATGCTTCTAGAAAAATGCTAAAGTTTCCCTGCTGGCTCAACATCTTGCTCTTCCTACCACCATTCATCCTAAATACTCCTACTGTTACTACTAAGAACGGAAATGATGATGATAGAAGCCATGGCTAACATTTGCCAAGGGCTTCCTAGAAGCCAGTGTCTTTAAGAAATGTTCTATATGGATTACCAACCTCATTTCCTCTTGAAAAAAGCTCCATAACAGAAGTACGGTCATGATCCCCACTTTACAGATGGTAAGACTGAGGTACAGAGAGGTTTAGGAACTTTCCCAAGGTTGATAGGAAGAAATGCAGGCCCAGTGATGAGCTATCTGACTCCAGAGGCCATTCTGTTAATCATTTTAGACGACTGCCTTCTCTACCTGATTGTCAGATCTGAATAGGCAGGGACCTTGTCTGTCTTAGTATCACTGTATTGTTGTAAATAAAATCATGCTTGGCACATAGCAGATCTCCACACATCTAGTATTGTGGAGTGAATGAATGAATGAATGAATGAGTCAAGGATGACAGAGTTTTAGAGAACCAGAGGTCCCTGAACATTGCGTATAGTTTCAGACGGACAAAGCTGCCTCCTTCATTGTGTCCTTACTGGTAGGGGTATGGTTGTGTCTTGAGACAACTGGATTCACACTGGGTTTCTGGCAAAGGTTGTGAATTACAGTTGGGCAACCATGCACCCATGGAGAATAGGACTGTATCTAATCATTAAGACTCCAAGTTCCTGAGAGTGAACCATATACCTAGTGGTGGCACCAGGCTTTCCAACAGACATCTCCACGTAGGAAACCTGAGATAGGACCTGGAGGATATGGTGGTCACTAGACGGTTGACAAATGTTCCTGAATTTCTCTCCTGCCAGATACAAAATAGGATTAGACTTCCCTGTCCCCTTAGAAGTTCAGATCTGTCTAGGTGACATGCTCTGGCCAGTGAAATGTGAGTGGGTAACTAAGATGAGAGAAGCCTGCCCTACTAATCCATAATGGACCTGCAAAGAAGTGGGAAACAAACCTCTGTTGTTTTAAACTGCTGAGACTTGGACCTGTATGTTACCGAAGCACCACCAAGCATCTAACAACTGAAACGGAGGGCTAAGGTACACAGACAAAACATCTGGGCACTGCATCTGAGGAGCTTATATTGTAGCAAAGCAACAAACTATGCACATATGAAACAACAGCAGGAAGGGAACTGTAATATGCAGGCAGCTAAATGCCAGATGTGATACTAAGGACTTTATGTAATAATAATCTCATGACTCATCTTACCTCTCAATGTCGCCATTTGTGAACTGGGAAGAATGATAGTATTTCCAGTTTATAAATTCCTATTTGGTAAGTGAGAACATTGAGAAGTAAAATAACCTTCCCAAGATGTCTCAGCTATTAAGTGGCAGAGCTAAGATTTGAATCCAAATCTGTCCGACCTCCAAAGCCTCAAGCCCTTTCCACTATACTCAGGGGCTTTTCTGCACGAGGAAATTTGCTCAAAGCTGCACGACACCAGTGCTGGCTATAGCCCCAAGGGCTGCTAAGACAAGGCATAAAGGAATGAGGGGGGTAAAGGTTTCAGGGCGAATTGCTGAAGGAAGTGGGTCTCCTT